TGGTCCACTACTTTTATTTTTTATTTTTCATCTGTACGCAGTTGTGCACATAGAAACACACATACCTTATATTGTACACACTCACTGTTTTTTTTTTGTTTTTCTTTTGAGCACTTACCCCTACTTCAACTTTATTTTTTAATCCTAATTCTTCCCCTGAATCTAAGCCAAATAAAATACAGAGTCGACGATGATACAAAATAACTCTTTTTTTTTTTCTTTTACACTGACACTTTATTTAGTAAAACACACATTCATGTGTTTATGTCTTTGACCCATATGGGGTCACGGACCGCCTGTTGAAGACCACCGCTTTAGGGACTTGATGTGTTACCATAACAAACCATCAATCTCCAAAAAAACACCTAAATACGAAGAGAAAAACACGCATTTACACAATCATTACAGTGGTGCAAATATTTTTTTAATTTTTTTTTTTATTTCTTTTCAAAAATCAACGTTCCGTCGATAGAACATTGGTCTGAAACCAAAGCACTGGACATTTGTTTTAATGAGCTGTTTCATAGTTGGAGCCAATCAGCCAGTCATCTGTCACTACGTCTTCCTCAGCATCCGCCGCTCAGGTTTCAGTATCACCAGCACTTTAGAGCACAAATGGACTTAAATGACTGCACATCTTGACATTCACTCTGCAGCGACACGTCACACAGCAATAATTGGATCTTGTTCTGAGGTATTTAGGCAGACATAATTCGGAGGAAAAGCTTCTGTACTGGGAAGGGGCCAAGGGGGATTGGAGGGGGGGTGAGGAGGGGTACCAAGCGCTGGACACAGAATGAGAGCGAGAGCCAGACGGGGCAGTGAGTTTGGCCATGGTGTGTTTGAAAGCAGCAGTTGGGACCCTGATGACAGAGTGGTCTTTGGGAATTTAAGAGCAAGCGCTCTGAAGTGGGTGTTTCCCTCCGCAGAGGACCGGGCCAGGAAGGAAGGCTTTGGCTTTCAAAGCGTCCACAGCTTTATTTATATTACATATTTTCATCGCCAGGACTCTTTCAAAGGGAGAAGAGGGCTGTTTTCCCATTTCCAATAGGCTCTGCCCTCTGTCTTTTATTTCCTCTCCCTGTCGCCAACAATGTGTTTGTTTCCGGAGTAACGCCGGACCAGGGGCCGGCCTGTTGAGACTGTGTTTAAAAGATACAGTGGGAGTGTGTTATTGTCCAGCGTGAGGAGAGTGATGGGAGGGTTCCGTGATTGTTTTGCCTCACCTGTTTTCCGGTGGGCTCCAAAATCATAGGGGGATAGCTGAGAGAACAATGGTGCACAGGCCTTGGAACATCTGTGATGAAAGGTTGGCTCTCCATGCACCGAAGACATCACGTCTTTGTTGAAGCTTTTTTTTTTTTTTTTTTTTTTAAATTTCAGACTGTGTGACCTCACCTCAAATTACTAACAGTATGAAAACGATTTTTGGCTGCAGTGTTTTCTATTACAGATGGATAGAACTTTGTTAATCCCTCGGGAGTTCCCAGCAGTACAGCACCAAAAACAATGGTCAAAACACAGGCATAGGTCAGATACAAACATGAGTAGCAGCAAATTTTATGTTTAGTGTTGAAAGAAACACTTCAGAATTCACAGGGGAAAATATCAGCCAAGATAATAATTGAAGCAAATAGAGACAATTAAGCAAATAGTTATTTTCCAGCTAACAAATTACAATTATAGAAATTATAGTCACCGACTTTTACATAAACACATGTAGGAAATGGAGCCTTCAACACTCGTATGACTCACACCAGTGTTTTTGAACTTCGGGAACTGAAATTTATACTTGTGTTTTTGAACTTCGGGAACTGAAATTCATACTTCTGAGAATTTGTATTAGTTTTCATAGTGTCGTATTTCTCATATTGTGACATTAATTTGCTATTTGAGGTGTTTTGGGACGTTTTTATTAAATAGATCATTTAATTTTCCAACAGGAACAGTTTGGGTTGACCTTTTTTGGTCATGATGATGTTCATGGTGTTCTGCATGTGTGATGGAACTTCTGACTATCGCAGTGATGTTTCTGAGTAACTCTAACTAAACTCTGTCGTAGGTTTTAGTTGATGCAGTGAATCAGTTTGTCTCACAGAGGTAAAATATTTGTTATCAAACTTTTCGCTGTCTTGTTCCAGACAGTGAACTCCCAGACCTTTTGACAGGGAACCCCTGCCAGGCCGCCAGTGACATCATTAACCATCCTTAGGCCACGACAGCTTCTGATAAATTAGTCATCCATCAAAGGCTCCCGTATCAGCCGCAGCCCCCGATCATTATTGGAGGCAAACAACAGTGTCACATGTTACCCTGTCAGATTTCCACCTCCTCCTCCCAGCTCCGCGGCCCCAAGGGAACCACCCAGCCCTGCAGACAATCAGCGGGAATAAAAAAAAATTAAAACTAAAGGCCATTTTTCAATTAAGCTGCCAGAGAGTAAGGCTGTAGAATCAG